TGAAACTACTATGCAATATTTTAGTAATAATAATCTGAGGACCCCCCAGACCGATGAGGTTTTGTTCACAAAATAAGCTAAAAATCTAAATGTGCATTTATTATATGGTTTACCTTCTTTATAATGTACCTCAGATTGCAGGCTCGGGTAGCACATCGAATTCAGGAGCTGGAAAGTCTGCCAGGATCTCTGCCCCCCGACCTGAGGAATAAAGCCACAGTGGAGCTCAAGGCACTGCGTCTGCTCAACTTTCAGCGGCAGGTAGACAACTGTCATGTTTCATGTTACAGAACAGAATAAGAATTCTCTTTTTGAAAAATTTTGGATTCCTCAGGATAGAAAACGAGAGTTACAATGAGACACTATATACTGTAAAATAATGCAAAGATACTAATTTGAAATGGAATATTTTGACAGTTTAATTGTTGTAAAAGTTGAGAGGTGATAGTTATTCTCTTTAGTTTTAATGGCATCGAATACATAAATCTCAATAACTTTGCATATTTTGTAACTTAAAATATTTAATTCTGTTGGATGACATGTTTGTTTTCTGCCTTTGCAGCACCTGTAGATTTATAATATTTTCTTCTAGCAACCTCTCACTGCCATACTTTAAAGAGCCAACTTGTAAGCCATTGATGTAGTAAATACATTGACTATGCATTCTAAAGAACAGTTTCATTTATATACTGTTTTGCATTTGAAAATGTATAGATTAACTTTGAGTAAAGTTTCTACGGTTTTCAAATACCTGGAAATGGGATGTCCCCTGTTTTATCTTAAGCTGAGACAGGATGTGGTGGCATGCATGAGGAGAGACACCACTCTTGAGACGGCCCTCAATTCCAAGGCTTACAGACGCAGCAAGCGGCAGACGCTGAGGGAAGCTCGTATGACCGAGAAGCTGGAGAAACAACAGAAGCTGGAGCAGGAGAAGAAGCGTAGACAGAAACATCAGGTGAAGCACATTGGAGTTTGTATGATACAAATCCAGTCTAACACCCTTATTTCAAGGTCTAAAGTAGAACTGATCATTAGATGGTGTTGGATTGGATTTTCTTTTGGAACCAGAACCGACTGCTAGGAATTTTAAAGTATCTCAAACCCTTAGACATTTTTTCCTGAGCCTCCAGCGTCTTTTTTTCAGTTGTTTCCAATGAGTGTTCACATCAGAAAGCGGGCATCTAGAGAAAAAGCACAACCCCAGCTTCTTTTTGGTGAGCGCTACGGCTTTTTTGTGTAGCCGCTCTGAGCGCTCAAGATGAAAATCTTTCAACTTTTCAGAAAGACGCTGTTGAAGTCAGCTGCACTCTTTCCCAAATGTATGATATACCCTGTAGTTTTGCCGCCTACAAAAATCCGCTCCTTATATTATCAGGAAACAAATTATCTAAAAGAATATGCAGTAAAAAGTGTAGGTCATACAGCGGCCGTTGTCAACAGACTGTTGTCACAGAGACAGGAAGGACGTGCTGCACTTCTTATCAGTGCACAAAAGCTTCATGCAAATGCTTCCGAGTGCTTTTCTGCCCGGTAAAAACGCTAGGTGGACACAGGGCCTTAGACTGCATCCACATTAGTCTTTTATTTAGCCAATACAGCATCAGCACAGTTTTTCAACATGTGTTATTCTAGCTGCAGCATCAGGTTTCCTTGAATGCTTTGGAAACAGGTGCTTTATGATACAAACACAACCATCAATCACTTTGACTTTGAGCTGATGTTTTCTTCAAGCTTCAACTGGCAGTTAAGCTGAAGAGACAGGGAACACATAAAAAGGGACATCAGTATTCTTGTTTTTGACACTGGGCATCCCACTCAAAACAAAATTAAACAATGTCTAAAAGTTGACGGTTTCAGAGCGACAGCATCAAACGCTCCATCCATGCTGAAATGAATTTGTTTAAAGTGGAGCCTGACAGCGCAGCGCTCCGTGATTCTTACTTGTTTGCTCTGCTTTCAAAATAATATTTATACCTCAACTTGTTTTTCATGTGTTGTTTTTTCAGGAATATCTCAACAGTATCCTTCAGCATGCTAAAGACTTCAAGGAGTACCATCGCTCAGTGTCGGGTAAAATGCAGAAACTCACCAGAGCTATCGCCACCTGGCACACCAACACCGAGCGCGAACAGAAGAAGGAGACTGAGAGGATCGAGAAGGAGAGGATGAGGAGACTGATGGTGAGGACCTAAAAGTCCACATATATTTTATGTTGCACCTTTGCAAAATAAGGTTTTCCAGCCATAAGAGCAGAACACTTAAGATGTTTTATCTTCAAAGTTATGCAGGTTTTTGTGTCAATTTAATTTGCATCTGCAGGAGGTCAGAACAACATTATTTTGTAACACGTTTAACTGACCATATATAGATATACTAATGGCAATGAATTGTCTGAATAGATGAAACACACAGCATAGATTTCAAACACTGAATATAAAATGAAAGGGAAGACATTTCTACCTTCAAAGCAATCTTTATGTTTCCCTTTTTTTTGTCTTTCAATGTTTTCCTTCCTTTGGAGTTAAACCAAATCTGTGACACTGAAGGGATGCTGTAGTCCAATCCTGTTATTCTTCTAGTACAGACTGAGGACATTGGCAGATACAAGACACTTTGAATTAAAAACAGATAGCAGTCTTTGGAATCATCCTCTTAGCTACATGTTATAATACAATTTAAATGAATACCTGTCAATTTTCCTACTGAAGGTCTGAGAACAACACAGTCTCAAACACAGTGAGTATGTTTTATAGTGAGGGCTCAGGACTTTTGGTTCTTTCACAGTCAGGGTTCTTGACCTTCTCAAATATTGACCGTTCAAAACAGGCGATTGATCTTCACACACCCTCTCATACTCAGGATATACTCTATTTGTTATGGGCAAATATGGTTTTAGTATTTGCACTGATCTGCTATTTTCTATCGATGTGTCAGCACACCAGAACTGCTTTAATTGAATAACACTGAAGACCTTCTGACTTTGAAATGATGTTAACAAGCTGATGATATTCATTTTTATCCTAAAGTCGTTTCAACCATTAAACTTCTGTCACCCTCCCCCACTCAGGCAGAGGATGAGGAAGGCTACCGAAAACTGATTGACCAAAAGAAAGACAAGCGTCTGGCCTACTTGCTGCAGCAGACAGACGAATATGTGGCCAACCTCACAACCCTGGTGTACGAACACAAAGCTGCCCAGGCTGCCAAGGATAAGAAGAAGAAGAAGAAGAGAAAGAAGGTAGGGCATCGAATGATGGTGATGATTCACGGAATTACCTTAATGTTAATGGATGTCACATTTGTCTTCTACTAGTTCCTGAAAAGAAAAGTTTGTCTCCAAGGTTAAAACATTATGTTGTTGTTTTTCTCTGAATTTTCCTGTTGAGTGACACACCATCAATGCCAGATATGCACTTTTTTGAAGTCCTTCTCTCAATGCTGTCTGGCCTTTTCATCCTGAGTTTGACATTCAGCTTCAAACCCTTTTTCCTGACATGACAGACATATTTTCTAAATCAGCCTGCGAGTTGTTCCTGCAACTCCCGTTTCTGAGCGCACCGTGTGTGTGTGTGTGTGTGTGTGTGTGTGTGTGTGTGTGTGTGTGTGTGTGTGTGTGTGTGTGTGTGTGTGTGTGTGTGTGTGTGTGTGTGTGTGTGTGTGTGTGTGTGTGTGTGTGTGTGTGTGTGTGTGTGTGTGTGTGTGTGTGTGTGTGTGTGTGTGTGTGTCGGGGCAAAACACGACACAGAGAGCAGAGGAGAACTGTAAACGCGCGACCATGTAGAGACAGAAATGACATGCTGTTGTGTAAATAAGATAAATAACATAAGGCTATTTAGTTTGTTTACTAAAAGGACGAGGTATAGACCTGTTCTATAGGAAAAGTATCCGTATGACTTCTGTTTTGATCTGGCGCTATATAGAAAATAAAATGAACTTCACCATCAAGGGGGGCGGGGGTGCCGTTGGGGGGGTGGGCCGCCCCCCTAATATAATAGTAGGGGAAACACTGCCTTCCATAAACTCAATCCAGCCCTGAGATGGAGAACCAACCATAGCGACATGAGTCATAACACATGACCATTATAATCTCACGGTTCATTATTTTGTTCAATTCAAGCCTCTTCAAGAATGACAATGTGGTTGCTGTCAAACCTCACTCGGCCTCCTCCTCGTGATGGAAAGCTCTGAAAAGGTCTCACATTTTTGCGACACAGTGGGCACATCTCTTCACCTGATTTCACACCTGCTGTCATAGGCCCAGAACTAATCATTGAACCAGCACCTGCAGAGTTTCTGTAGAGGTTCATGACATTGATGTCAGCTAGTTGAATAGACTCATCTTGTGGCGCAATATTGTGTCACCTCAGTCGAGCATGTGTAATGGAGATTCTGATAAAAGCATCTTTTAAAAAGAAGAGTATTTTTAGCTGCAGTATGAAGGAGAATACAAAGCAGCCCACATGACCCCTCATAACCCTGTGGAGCTTCGACTTTCTCACTCTCCTTTTAAGAGGAAAATTTAGGAAATTACTGGAAGAGACTAAAATCATGGAGCCACAAATACTAATAGATGCTGGTGTTGCTGATGCTTTTAAACAGCACAGTGCTTCACATTTATATATAACTTGGATGAAGTGTTTGCTTAATGGATTTGTGTGTGTTTCTATGTTTGTTGTGTAGAGGGTGGATGGAGACGGAGAAGGCACCAGTGCGATTGGACCCGATGGAGAGGTGGGCCCAAGTGTTTTATGTTATCTTTTCATTTTGGGTGTTTTATTTGGCTGGTCCAAAGCAAACCAGGGCCAACCCTATAAACATGAAAAACTGTCCCTGATATGTTGAATGAGTGAATAACATAGTGACACCCTGGGTCCAATGTTTGATAAAGTTTGAATGTTAATTCAATTGTAAATGTTGGGCTGGGAAAATAGAAAGAAGAAGAAAAACAAAAACAATTTGGCATTTTAGTTAGTATAGATGTGTCAGTTTATCACAGCAGAAACAGCCACACAGCTTGTAAGAATGACCGTCTGAGTCAATGACTACTGAAGTTCCAGCGTTGATTTGTCTTCGGGTTAGATTTTCCTCTTTTTCTTCAGCTCTTTTAATAGGAAAAGGTCCTGAATAATGTCCTCAGAAGGCTTTAAGCTTGTTTATAGTCACATGAGACACCAGGGCAGGGGCATCTAAGGCTCTTGATCTACTAGCGGGAGAAGCATCTATGCTCAGTGTTTTATCCGTTGCAGTAATCTCTGAATAAGCAAAACATTCTGTGAAGATGTTTGAAGTAAATGAGCTGCTCAAGACGTGGAATTAATTGTAAAATTCAACTATTCATGGAAATGTTTTAACTACCGTTTTAAAATCCCTGAAGAGAGAGTATAATGAACAGCTTTTTTCTTTTTTTTTTGTCTTATAAAGATTGTTGTATTTTCAATGCGATGGCTCAAAGTTGCACAAATCTTCACGATCAAAAGATTCCCAGTCCATTAAATTTCCATTGTTTTTAAGTCTCAGTGAAAAAGCATTTTCTGGGGGTCCATAAGAAATGTATACAGTATAATGAAATGTTGCAATTAAAACTATAAATGTGTAATTACTAGTTCAGCCCAGCCACAACTTTACCTGTTTTTTACTCGGTGCTCTCATAAAATTTCTTTGAAAACAAATAGCCACTACTGCACACTGTCAGCCTCACAAGTAAATTAGAGCTAGAGGGAGGTAGCTGTTGGACCATTCAGCAGATGTTAAGAAGATGATGAGACAGACATTTACCTCAGGCATTGGTGGAGTGTAAATATTGTACAGATTCCAATGGAGGATGTAAATCTTTGATCATTGCTGGATCTGTTAGCAACTGTTAGCCAACACGTTTGCTGTATCATCTTTAAAAGGTGATGACGTTTGCTCACAACTTGTTCCTGCTGTCCATGAGTGGCCAAAGGTTATAATGCAAAGTCACATTCAAACCTTTTCACAGATGGACCTCATGATTTAATTGCTTTTTGTCATTTGAGGATATTTAACCACCCAGTGGATGTTGTTGTGTTGATAATTATTGCTCTGCTGCTGTGAGACCAAACCTGTACTTTACCTCAGTCACTAAATGTCCTCCTACAGAGACAAAACATATTTTGAATTTCAGATGAAATAAAAAGCAATTATCCTGTCAGCAACAGACTGCTCCCTGGGTGACAATACAACCCAAGGTTATTGAACCTCTGGTAAATAATGCAACAGAAAATATATAGAAATCTGCAGTGTGTAACTTGCCATACATCAATCTAATTATACTTGTCTAATTAAACACTACATTTCTCATGATTGATTATTAGTTTTATTAATATTATTAATCATGTTCCTTTAGCTTGTGTAAATTAACAACAGATTCACATCAGCACTTGAAAGAATTCACTCCTTCAGAAACGTCTCCTGTTGAAGTAATCCTAAACAAACTGTAATTTTCTGTCTGTCAACATTTGTTCCATATGCAGCCATAAACAGCAACCAGTCTGCAGCTTCTGATGTTAAAACTCATATAGATTTGTGGAGATGTTTTACTTCTCGTAACATTATGCTTCAGCCTTTCTGAGACATGCGAGCACAAATGTACTGAAGTGAAAAAAAAAAATTGGTTCAATTAGAAATACATTTATCAACATTTTACAAACAAGAGTTCAGTTTTGTATCCGTCCACACGTTTCTCCTTGTGGTGTTTTTTTGCTCTGCAGCCTATGGATGAGAGCAGCCAAATGAGTGAGCTGCCTGTCAAAGTGATCCAGACAGAGACAGGGAAAGTCCTTCAGGGAACGGATGCTCCTAAATCCAGCCAGCTGGAGGCCTGGCTTGAAATGAACCCAGGGTGAGTATGCTCCCCTCTGCACAGACCTGTCATCAACCTTGGGAAAGGAATTTCCCAAGTTTCTTGTTCAAATGCACAAACACTCGCAACACTAGGGCTCCCAAATATTTACTTTTTTATTTTCTCTATGGCTATATTTCTACATGCATATAGCAAATCAATACATATATCTTTGGGAGCCATAGTGTTGCGAGTCTTTCTGCTTTTTATTTAGTGTTTCTTTTATGCCTCAGCACCTGAGTAAGTGATACATGTGTGTTTGCTGACTTTTTCTGGACTAAGTTTCTTGCTACATAGTTCTTCATGCTGATTAAGTGCTTGAAGAAGCATTACTTTTATGTGCACGCTGTTACTGATAAACCCAGAAGTATATTGCCACTTCAGGGAGGGAAAACAATACTGGAGTGCAATGACTGATTTACCTTCACTGCTGCAACCAGAGAAAGGTTTGGAAGACACCCTTTCCTAATCAGAGTCAAAATATTCAAACAGAAAGATAGATAGAAGCTTTATTGTCATTGTATAAAAAACACAACAAAACTTTGTTTGCAGCATCCCTGTACAGCAGCGTTTGCAAACGAAAGGTTAAATATAGCCTGAGTGGATCCCTTCAGTGTAGCTGCAGACAGAGGACTTAGGGTTTTCTTTCATTTTCATAACAAAGTACTGAAGCACTAAATTGGAAAACAAAAAATAGAGACAAACTATGTGATGTTGAACAAATGAATTATCTCTTTTAGTCTGAAAAAACCCACCAGGAACATTTTCTTACATGAAAGGTTCTTTTGAGTCAAATATATTCTTTAGGCTTTTCTCAACCTCATCCATTCGTACTTTTGATATTAGGCATATTGGAAATATGTGTGTTTATTAATCACATTCCTTGCACTTATATGGGGTAATAACAAAGTATCTCATGTTTTTTTTTCCAGGAACATTCCCACCAGTATTGTCAACATGTTGTCTGTTACTTAAAGAGTCATTCGATATGACAAGTTTTCTACTTTTTTAGTTTCAAACCCTTTGTTTCTGTTTGTCTTTGACTGAATTATCTGCATTTGTCTTTTGAAGCACTTTTCATTATCAGCAGGGTTTAGACAAATAAAGATTTGAAGTTTCACAAGGTTGAGGGAAGAATCCAATGCCTGCACGTGTTAGTACCTTGCTGCTAGTAAATTTTGCTGAAGCTCTAAATGTTTGAACATTTCTCTCTGTTCTTTCTTTTTGCCTTGTTTTCCTCTTTCAATAACCAGGTATGAAGTCGCCCCTCGGTCAGACAGCGAAGAGAGTGGCTCAGAGTACGAAGAGGAGGTCAGTGACTTTCACAATTATGAACTCCCTCACAGGAGACTTTTCTCTCCTGCAATTGGTCAAATCATCAATAATCTAAATTAGTGAACATGTCAGACACACACACACACACACACACACACACACACACACACACACACACACACACACACACACACACACACACACACACACACACATCCAAATCCACCAGGGGGCTGTAGCTGTATTCACTTCAATACAGCTGCTTCTGAACATTTCATTTGATCTCCATCAGAGTTACTTACGTGATCTGTCTTTTCTTTTATTGCTTTAAGCCCGCGATCAGTCATGTTTTATCAAATTTGCCTTAAAGGAGGAAGAGGATGTTCCCAAGGCAGAGGCAGAGGAGAAGACGTTAATCACTCCAAACAGAGGGGATGAGACTGTGGTGGCTGCCGAGCACGTCATTGAGTATGGTGTTCCTCCTCACTATCGCTCAATCTCAGAGATTACCTTGGCAGGGCTTGTAGTTCTCTTGTCCTTGAATTGCATCAGTTAGAAACAAAGATGTACTTGTCATATTGAAGGTGGAATCATTGACTCCTGGCTCTTGTTAAGCCTTGAAACAAGGCAAAATCAAAACATTCTAAAAAAAAAAAGGCAGCTTAAACACTGTTCAAGGGTTTTTTATACTCTTCTTTTTCATGTTCAGTTCTGTCAAGCAGGATGTGGACGATGAGTACATCGTTCCTACAGGACAAACCGAATCCCACTCTTACTACGGCGCGGCCCACGCTGTCATCGAGCGAGTGGAGAAGCAGTCATCGCTGCTGATCAACGGCACGCTTAAACATTACCAGGTACAAAGATTCACGTACACAAATAGTGGTTGCTCTCATGGTGGTTGCCCCCCCCCACACCCCTTGAAGGTCAAGAAAGACCTTTATTGCCTTTATTGTGGAAATAGGATAGTGGATACAGTCGGAAATCAGGGAAAGAAGTAATTTAAGGATACCTTTCAGATAGAAAAGGATAGCTGTCATTAAAAGTAACGCATGAACACCAAGGTTCCAAAGCTGTAAACCTAGGGGAAACACTGTATTGTGTTTGCAATGGCTTTCAAATTGAATGTTTTGCCAAACAACCTTTTTTGATTGATGAAACAGCCAAATGCAATTTATTTAAAATCATTTATTTTCTATTTCCAACTAAATGAGTCTTGAATGCAGAAGAGCATTTTTCGAAACCTTCCTTCAAATTTTGGATGATAGCTTGTCCTTGAATTAATCAGCAGGAACAGTTTTTAAATGGCTCCATCATTTGAGCCTTCATACTCCAGAGCAGGAGGGAAGCTGCTCATGGATTTAGATCATCTTCTGTCTGCTCAGCAACTAAACGCTCAGTCATTCAATGAAGTTTAAAGACAGCTATCTGCTCAGAAGAACAATTCTACCTCATTATTTTCAAGCGTGACACTGTAGTCTTGTCTCTGAGTGTAAATGGCAGTGAAAGATGGTTTAGTACTAGAGATAGGGAACTGGCAATTGGATGCTGCCAACATTTTGTTTCCTCTCTAACAATCAGGCTGCTGTGGAATCACTCCTCTGATATAAGCTATAAATGAGACACTGTGGCAGCTCCCAGAGGAACTCAGCTTTAGAATAATTGGACAGCGGTTTGTGTGTAAGAAATAAAAATGAATTGCCCTCAAGAGTTAATAGAAAGATACAGATTTATACATGACTGTATTCAGTCTATTATTACTTATTAATTCAACCCTAAAACCAGCCTGTTTACAGATGAATTATCTCCGCTTTCTGCTGTCAGGCACAACATGCAGTTGGTAATTGGTTGGCAGTTTCCTTTTCGGCTGCCTGTGTCCTCTTGGCCTTTTCCTGTTTCTCTGTACTGACTTAAGCTGATTGTTTTCTTCAAGCCGCAGGGGAATAAAACAGTTGATATTTTGCTACCTTGTCTGAATCACTTGGGAAATAAAATCCCAAAGTGGCAATGCGATCTAATAGCATTTTCAGAAACCAATTTAAAAGACATTAAATGTCCTTCTTTTGATGAATGTAACGGTTTGTATGTTTACACCATCACAGGAAGTGGAAAAGTCCTTTTAAAATGATTTTAGATCGTTTCAACTCCTTTCTTTCTCTCTTACTGTGCTTACAGTATAACTAAGTTCTTTTTTTATTCTCAAATTCATGTCTGGTTTTACAAAAACAATTACATGAGAGATATTAGTGGAACTTTTTTGATAATCAAATAATCCCTATTCATAAAGTTCAAGCAAAAAGGCAAAATATCCTTTTTTTAAAGTTTTTTTTGGGGTTTATGCTGATGTCCCCCCCCCCATCTTATGCCTCCTATACTTTACAGTAGAAGACTTGAATTAACACCAACATCCTCTCAGATGTTAAGATATTTGAGTCCAAGACTTTGCAGAGACAGGATATCTTATTACAGGGTCACTTGATACTAGACTATAACAGGACTCCAGTTGAAACAATTTCCCATCCTGCTCCTGGTAGAAACTGACAAGAAAAAAACGAACTTTGAGAAGGAACAGAGTTGTGCTGTGATTTGTCTTGAAGCTTGTGAAAATGGTGAGCAGGATTGAAAAGGCAAACTAACACACTTTCAGACTTATTAGAGGCCGTTAACCATGTCATGCTGCAAATTATTTCATGCACACAGGATTTTTTAACATATCAGCAGTTGTGTGACCTCCTGGTCACAAGCAGCACCTCCAACAATTCAGCCACCTGGTTTTCTGGCTTCTTTTACCAGTGCTAGTTAGAGCCCAAGTACTAACTGTTGACAGGGGTGATGTCATTGAACATCATGATTTACATCGCCCTAAATAAATGAAGTTTAGTGGAAACATGTTAAGATGAAGGAAAACTTTAAGACAAACAGGGCTGAGTTTTATAATCACCCAAGATGACACAAGCCCTCCCAGACTGCAGCAAAACGTTCATAAATGTATTCCAACTTTGAACAATTGTCTGTAATAGTGACAATGCTTGAAAAAAATTGATAGGTGAACAACCAGCATTATGGGATAGTAAATTGAATCTCTCCACTCAGACAAAACAAACTATTTGAGAATGTCAAACTGACATATTTCATTATTTGTCTGATAATTATTTAAGGGACTGAATGGCAGTTTAATGAATGACCACAATAATCATTATGTGCAGCCCTATTTTAGGTAGCAAGGTGATCATTATGGGATAGTACATTGAATGCCAAGAGTGAGACAATCTATATTATCTTATAATCAATCTTAAAGAATTGATTGGCATTTCAATCAAGGACAATTATAGTCTTTATTTGAAGTGTTCTCGCAATTTTGCCTTTAAGGCTGTCACAACTTCAATTGACAGGACATATTTAGCAAGAATGAGCAGAAGCCACCTTAGCCCCCAGGAGAGTTTTTTTCTCCATGAAAAAAAAACTCCTTCTCTTTTCAGATTGGCATGCCTGCCCTTTAAACAAGGTGACATTTCTCCTCTGAAAACATTTATTCTTTTTGACATGCAATTAGATTCAATGGGTAAATTTCCCATGACAGTTTCCTTGAACACAACTATGTTTTGATCTGTATTTTTTTAAGTATTTCATGCCCTGCAGGAGAATATGAAATAGCTTTTAAATGTGAAAAAACCTAAAGCATGCTTGTATTTTTCTCTGATATCTAGGTCCAAGGGCTGGAGTGGATGGTGTCCTTATACAACAACAATCTAAATGGAATCCTGGCAGATGAAATGGGGCTCGGCAAAACAATCCAAACCATCGCCCTAATCACCTACTTGATGGAGTACAAGAGGATCAACGGCCCCTTCCTCATCATCGTTCCTCTCTCGTCAGTACCCTCTCAGCTTGCATCCATCAGTTATCACACAGTGTTATGACGTCCTGAAACATTTTCAGCAAGGGAGCGATGTACACACTTCAAAATTACTCTAGGATATAATTTTACATTAAAAAAACACCCTCCTTATTAGTCCAAACCACAACATGGAGCTATAATAGAGAGCAGAGGAGTCAGGAGTCCCATCCCTGATTGGGATACAGATGCCAGTAGCAAGCAATTTAACTCAAATTATTTTCAAGTGTCAGGTGTGAAAAACTCATCTGCCTGCAGAGAGGGATGAATCAAAATTAACAGCAACCACAGACCGTCTCAAGAACAGCAATAAGTTATTAGTCAGATAACACCGGACTCAGAAGGGCTGTATTTTAGCTTTGGACATACACACTTTAAAATAGCTGTGGTATACAAAGTAATTATAGAGAAAATGAGGATTTTAACATATGACTGTCAAGAAACCTAGCCTATTTATTACTGCATTATCAAAACTATTTTTAAATAATGATATGGATTTAAAAAGGGTGAAATCCAAAACATGGAAAATAAATAAAGTTATACAATGCACAATGCAATAACCGCTGAATTTTTAGTCTTTCTGGTTTCCCACAACTTTTACCAGAGGAAAGCAATGTTCTATCATTAAAGTGTAACATTTCTAACCTGCCTCCTTCTTAAGCTTTACTGTCAGCTTCTGGAAATTGTCAGAATTATTCAGTATTGCTGTTCATTTTTCAAACCATCATGAATCTACAAGGGTCCCCGACATTATATATGTCTTGTGTGCTGGAGACTCCCATTCAGCAAATCAACATTTATTATTAAGTGTCTCCCACAGAATAATGGGGTACAGTGTAGTGTCTGTTGAAATATTTAAAATAATGCATTACCTTTATCCTAATCCTTTTTATGAATTTATGTAGTTCTAGGAAACCTTAATTTAGTGCAGTGTTTCTCAGCTGGTGGGGTCTGGACCCAAAAGTGGGTCACAGGGCCGTTTTCAGTGGCTCTTGAAGGTGTGCATGGAAGCAAGTTTGATTGTAAAATATGCGGAAAAATTTGGGTCGCAATTTTTCACGTAGGCGACAGTGATGGGTCCTGAGGATCAACCAGTGGAGGAATACTGATTTAATGTTTACTCCCAAACTTTTTTTATTCTCTTAACACATGCACACACACACAATTGTAGTTGGCATCATTCTCCCACAAAAATGATAAGAAAATCTATGTGTGGGAAGCACTGCTGAGCAAAATAACCGAGCCTATGAACTAGTTTGAGCTACTGCTTATTCTCATAGTGCAGTGATATGAGGCAGTAGAGACAAGGAAAATGTTTGTGTTGTTTAACTTAATATGGAAACTAGAGCTTTTATTCATGGCTGTGTGTAAGAAAATAAGGTTAGGCTATCTTCTATTGTCTACTATAAAGTTGTGAAATGTTCTTGTGGGAGCAAACTAAACTTACACGTGCCATCAATATCTTTGAAAATATTTTAGGACTCACCCTTACAACCCTTACTCCAAATCTCTGTCGGAACTTTTATCCTATGGTTCAAATGAGAAAGATAAAGTTTGGTTTTGGCTGTTTGAAAATCATGAGAAGAAAAGAATATGGCTCTTAAATCATTCATTCATCTTACCGGTAAGAAAGTATGATTTCCCTCGCTATTTTTCTACCCTTAATCCCTTCAAATTCTTCAAACACAATCCACTCAAACCTCTGGAGGCAGGCTCTCCAGAGTGGACCGGGGTTGTAGTTGTTTCAAATCCACTCCCCGTTAAAAGCTTCAAAGTGGAAAATTCACCTGCGTCGTTTCACCTTCCTTTAACATTGCAGGCAATTTCACCCACTTACCTTCCGTAGATTAAGATTGCAGGAGGAAACTGTGTGATGTAACGCCCACGTTTACATTTTAAAACAATTTTTTTGTGGCTTTGATCTTTTCATTATTTATGACGGATGCATTGCTTCTAGTAGTTGAAGTAAAAGATTTAAATTAGAGCTCTGGGCCACTGTGTTGAATTTTCTTTTTTAATATGCAAAGTGAAGTTATGTGGAGGAAAGCTTCACACCTGCCCTCTGTCATTCAGAGACGTGTGTTGGGAAATCAAAGTTAATGGGCAGAAGAGATTGATATGCCAACGGGGGCTGAGTTTTTAACAAAGACCTCTGTAAGAAAAATCTCCAAGTGAGTGTAGCAATCAGTTTTAAGTCTTTGGAAAGCTATTGCACTTTGACACCAAAAGGCATTTTCTTTTCTCCTGATGTTATTCCAAGACGTGTGGCTCAATGTGCTGTACTCTTCAATGAGCTCTCTCTGTGTTATTTTATGTTACTTAAGTTGCTCCTTCCTCTCCATGTTTGAGAGTCAGAGTGATTACCTACTTGCACCAAATTGATATCCGCTTTCTTCTATGTCAACCCGACATGTCAATCAATCAATCAATCAATCAAACTTTGTTTGTATAGCACTTTTCATACAACAAATGTATCACAAAGTGCTTTACATCAACATTTAATCAAATAGCAACAACATGACTCCCTCCCGCAGCCCTATCCCACAATCCGAAAACTAAGGTAAAAATAACTAGATAAGAACAGGTACTGAGGAAATGCTATCATTTATTCTAAATGAGGAAACACAGGAGTTTGAAAATGTAATAAAACTAGATGAAATGAGATTCAGTTAAAAGCTCTACTAAAAAGGTAGGTCTTAAGTTTGCTTTTAATTTTTTTTACATTGTGTTCTGCCCTCAGGTCTCCTGGTAAACTGTTCCACAGACGTGGGCCGTTGTAATAAAAAGATGCCTCACCGTAGGTTTTAGTTTGGACACGTGTGGTCATTTTATGCTTGATTTTTTTTATTTCCAGGACTTTGTCTAACTGGGTCTATGAACTCGACAAGTGGGGACCGACTGTGGTGAAAATCGCTTACAAGGTAAGACGAAACATTTTTTCTTTCTCATGTAAGATGGTCTGAGTTCATTTAACTTCCTCACAACAGTTTTTTTCTCTTTGTGTCTCCTCCCACATGAAAGGGCACCCCTGTTTTGCGCCGTGGGCTTGTGCCTCAACTCCGCAGCGGGAAGTTCAATGTCTTGCTGACCACCTATGAATACATCATCAAAGACAAGCACATACTGGCCAAGGTAAAAAGAGATTCAAGCTTTTTCCTCATTTTTATTTTCTCATTCAGCTCTTTGTTGCATTTCTATTCAAAGGTTACTGCAGAGAGTCAAGCGGTCTCTTTAATCCCAAGTCTACAAGTTAGGCCCAAAAAGCCAACCATACATTTTTAACATTTTTTGACATCTTTGTGAGATCGTGTCTCTTATGTTATATTTTTCTAATCCTTTATCTAGTCTAAAATCTAATTTCCTGTAAACTCCAGGGACCTGTCATGTACCTCATATTGAAAGTTCCCCACAACTCTGAAATCCACTTGAGGTTAAAATCAAACCTTTTTGCCCAAACTTTTTTTGCAACGTTAATGCAAGTGCCAGGGTTTTAAAAAATGTGGATTTTCTTAGCAGTTGCAGCACTCTGTGTGAGCTGTAATTGATTTATCGACTTTTTGGGCAGATCTGGGATTAAACATTGTAGTAGTCAGACCTACATGTAGAAAGATGATGATGATTTCATGCAGTCTTAGCTATGCTTATTGTATTTGGCTTGAATGTTAAATAAGAGTCTGTTTTTGGTGTTGAATGTTCAAATGTTCTGGCAGATTCAATCATAGGTGCTTTATATGTCATGTTAAAAGTTGCATTAACGACCACACAAAGTACATTGGGAATACACAGGAGGTGAAGTAAATAAGAAGAATCAGTACCTCTTACTTGCGTTCACTATCTGAAAGTCATTTCTTTGCCCTAGTGATTTTAATGTTTATGTGTTGGTCCCTGCGTATTTTGTGCAGTCAGCCTGGGACTTCATTAAAACAGATCACTCAAAATGTTTAGGTTTTGATGTGAAGGACTTCAAAGAGCCGGCATATAACTGACTCCCAAACTCACCAGTACAATCTAACTCTTGTTTGTCTAAAGACTTTGTAGTGTAAGCGTCACCTTTTTACAGCAGCATCAGTAGCAGCTTCAGTTTTCTACAAGGGTCAGACAAGATGCACTGTGGCCATCTGCTATAGGCAGACTGCACTGACTGCAAGCAGATGAGAAAATAACCCTACTTCTCACTTTATTAATTACTGCATGAATACACATTTTCTCATGGCTTTATTGTCTCAAAAACTAGTTTGGTAATTTATGTGGCATTTTAGAGTCAAAGACAGGATGAACCAGGGTTTCATTAAGTGCCTGGCTTCCTGTGATTGACAAGACGCTAATTCCTGGATGGAATAGGCTTGTTTTTTTAAGTCTCTGGTCAAGTAAACACAGGAGAATCACCGGGAATTAAACACATTTACTAACATGAATGACTAGAAAACAATGGCTATAATAACTCCTGTGTATACATGATGGTGAAAGTGACTTTAAAATTGTGCCTAATGCGTTCCTTTGTTTCCCAGAGTCAGACTTTTATTCTACAGTGAAAAGTGTTTATATGTTTGAAAAGAGAAGGAATGAAAGACTTGCAGAATGAATGCCCCTGTTTCGGTCTGTTACTCTTTATTACTAGTTTACTGAACAATATGAGTGTGCGTTAAAGTTTTTCCTTCAAACTACGTTTTATTAATTCTGTCCAAGCTGCAGAGAGTCTATTAAACATTCAGCAGCACTAGGCTGAAACAAATGTTTCATGTTTCATGGTAATTTGTTCACATATTTAAAAAAAACTGCACGCACAAACAGGAATTATCAGAATATGAAATAAGAGAAGGAATAGAAAAATCTTGTTTGTATTCAGCAGTGTTGTTTACCCTGAAGGTACTCGCAGTAGGAAAATATAATGTTCTAAACTGGAGCTGCACCTGAGCTCTGTTGTGATCAATATTTCAAATTCAAATTCAAACATGGTTCTCTCCGTGTGTTTCTCTATTTCAAAGTGTAGGAGCAAAGTTTTAAAAAAGTTTTCTCCCATACACAGATTCGTTGGAAGTACATGATTGTGGATGAAGGCCACCGCATGAAGAACCACCACTGTAAGCTGACCCAGGTACTAAACACCCACTACGTCGCCCCTCGCCGTCTCCTCCTCACCGGTACTCCGCTGCAGAACAAGCTGCCCGAGCTGTGGGCTCTGCTCAACTTCTTGCTGCCCACCATCTTCAAGAGCTGCAGCACCTTCGAACAGTGGTTCAACGCCCCGTTCGCCATGACCGGAGAGAGGGTAAATACTAGCAGAAACAGCCTGGATGTAAAGTCTGCTTTCCAGTTTGTTGAAATTATTTTGAAGTGGACAGTAATCATACAAATGGTTCTAATGGTACAATATCTACATCCTTATTTACTAGCACACTGCCTTTGTTTCACCAGTCGTCCCAAAAAAACAAACAATGCCAGAAAAAATAATCAGGAGGAGTCAGTCAAACAAACTGTTTATGTGGAATTTCAACAATTGGAACATATCTCCTATGTTATACTGTATATTTTCCAGGTGTTTTTATTGTGGCTCTTGTTGTTCTATGACATATCCCTTTGACATGTTTAGGTTGACCTAAATGAGGAGGAGACCATCCTTATTATCCGGCGTTTGCACAAGGTGCTCCGCCCCTTCCTGCTGCGCAGACTGAAGAAAGAGGTGGAGTCTCAGCTGCCAGAGAAGGTGAGATTCAAGCTGAATATTTGTGCTCAGGTTTGATAAAGCATGATTTAACATGTAGCAGGGTTTGCAGTGTAGAAACACATTGACGTTTCATGAAGGTAATTCATTTTAATTAGAGTAAATGTACTATATTTTAAAGTCAGATAAAGTAAATATGTTCATTTAGATCCAATACAAATATTATTCACAGTTGTGAACCTTAAATCTTTTTGCAGTTTCATTCATTACTACATGAGTCTAGTTCTGTTATTTAATTCATGATCACATAAAGCTGAGCCGGACAATGAACATTAGTATTCATGCTCTCGTTTAGCACACTTTTTAAATCCAAACTTTGTTGGCACTTTTGTCTACAACCTTGAGTGAAACACCACCCTACTTATTCAGCATATTTTAAAGGTTGTAGACTTAAAACTGCTGAAACAGGCAACTTTCCATCTTAAAATGTTAATTAAAACACACTGATGAGTCCACCAGGTCACTGCTGGGAAGCTGCTTAAAGAGGAATGTGAATCAGTGTGTGATAAGGATCAAGGACTATCTGTTCACCCTGCCAGGGAAATAATTCATTTAACAGTATAATTGTTTTCAACTCAGCCTCTGGGTCCAACTCTCTTATTGTGTTGGGCTTTCACTGGAATAAAAGCAATTTTGGTTATTATATCAACTCATCAGGGTGCTGAAGCAGAAGTCATTCTAATTAAATGATGAACAACATCAGGGTCCTATTCTCTTACAGCTTGTTTATTTTATGATGATGGGAACTCTTCTAACAAATGGTGTTTCCTTAAAGCATTCAAACTGAAGAACACACTTGTAGGGTTTCAAGAAATCTGTAAAAAAAAAATAGTATTTTCTATTTTTTGGGGCTTCTGGCTTCACTAGAGAGACAGGAAACATGAAGACATCCTCCTTCTCTCCTCCTTCAACCTCAATGTATTTTGTGTTGAACATGAACTTCAGAGTAACTTCTGCCATTGGCATTATGTAAATCAGTCTATGAACTTCCCTTATCCCACTCTCAGCCACCAACATGAATTCCAAACAGCATTGACTGGAAAGTTGAGGACTTTTTTTTTTTTTACTGCAATTTAAGTTTCAATGATATTCTGAACACAAACTCAAAATAGATGTTTAAGTTTTTGTATTTCTTGAAATGTCACCATTTGCCTTTTTTTATAACAAAAAGAGGTTTTGTTAATATTTTTAACAGTAGTTTACAGCTTTTCATTAAATAAAAAAAGGTTAGCGAGTCGGCTTGCACTCAGAAGTGTTTACTTAATTTATTTCCAATAAAAATTGTTTTTATCTCCCTCTTCTCTGACCTTAAAGTCAGGTGGGCCGAAGGAGCTATGCACGTCAGTCGTGTTGGCAATAAAAGCCAATTAAAATTGGCTGAAGGGCCTTTATTGACTTCTTATTCTAATTTACACTAATAACACTAATATGAAAAATCAAATTGAACTTCTTTGGATATTCCATGGAATTTACCAAGTGTACTTATCTCTTTCTACAGCTGTAGAAGTATTGCACATTAGGAGAATTGTAGATACGTCTTTGGGAGACTTGTGCAGAAACTTTCAAGCAGTTGTAGCTTTTTAAAATCAACCATTATCAGTCAAAGCAGGGTCCATATTCTTTCATCATGGTTTATTATTATATTAGATTTATGAATGTAATAATTTGTTAAGACTATATCAAGGTGGGAGCATACTGTGTTTTTCTTTCACTCTATTGCTGTGTATATTTCTGCTTGTATTCTGCTTGTATTCTTTGCTGTAAAACCTGGAGTGACTTTATAGGCTGGGTCTTTGTAATATAGCAATAAGTAAGGTCTTTTACCTACTTTTGTAATGTTAAAAGACAAAGAGTAAGTATTTTAGAAAACTGATGTCAACTCTTACAGGCTCTCGGCTGAAAGACTCCTGGTCTCCCTGATGCATTGTGTTTTGTCTTTCCCTCAGGTGGAGTATTCATTAAGTGTGACATGTCTGCCATACAGAAAGTTCTGTACCGCCACATGCAGAAGGGAATCCTTCTCACTGACGGCTCAGAGAAAGACAAGAAGGTAAACACATCGGGACCCCTGTGGCTCCACTGTTGGTCGGGCTTTGTTTTATCAACGACAAATTGAGTTGTTAGATCTGATAGAACAGCCATATTCACAGATTGCTGCGGTTTGATATCAAATGTTCCCTGAGTTTTGTTTCATAGACTGAGTTGTCTCCAATATATTCTTTTTATGTACTGTTTAATGGACCATTAGTTTTCCAAAGATGAAAGGCATAATGCACATTTTATTGAATTTCAGAGCCTGGGTCTGGACCTTTGCACTCAATTTAGTTTTTAGAAGAGCAGACTATTTTTACACCACCTTAGGATGCAGGCTGCAAAGGTCTCCAAACAAATTAAAAATAAAGGATTAAAAATCTTTCAAGTTTGAACCTACAAAACTTGAGTTTGTAAGAGTATGTAATGAAACTGAGCTTCTCCACTATTTTCAGGGCTACTAACGACACATGCAAATGAAACAATCAATAATTTATGATAACAATCCGTTTACTGACAATGGGACATGTTGGATTACTTGTGATGACGCACGGACAGATAATCATCTAAATCTGTAACTCCTTATTATGGCGCTTAAGAGCGAGAGTTTCATGTCATTGATTAGCTGTCCGACTGCAACTGTAACGTTTTTAGTCCACTCTCACTGCTCTTGTCATGCTATTTTTGGTCAGAGCTGGCAGCTGTTAAAATACAAAAGGCTATAAAAAACATTATACAGTATCTGCCAAGCACAAGACAACAAACCAACCCTCTTATCAGTAAATGCCAGATATTTTTGTCAAGAGTTGGAATGGACTTAGAGCAGAACTGCAGGAGATCAAGTATTGACCTTGAACAGTCCTTGAAGCCAGAAACACCACTTAAAGCAACAATATTTAACTTTTCCACCTTCTGTCGATGTAATAGCTCAATACATTTCAACAGGGAGAATGTCCAAAGCAATCGCCTGTTTACTGCACTATGTAACTTTGGCAGCCGAGGTCATCTCACGAGAAGTGTGCATGGCCTTCATGGCACTAGTTCACACACAAGCCTTCAGTTATTTAAAGAAGCCAGTTAACCCGTCTCTGTACGGTTTGATACAATGGCTGAGGCAAAAAGGATGAGCAGGGTGACAGATGAAGCTAAGAAAAAAAAAGAGAGAGTGGCCGAGTAAGAATAATTAATCCATCAATAATAAATGATAAATAAATATAAATAAATCCATCGAATGCAAAAAAGCTGTCTCTTTCCTTGTCGACCTTCAAGTTAGCTTCATACATGTTGGACCTTACAAACCTACCTCAACTGGCATAATAAATTACCCTCTCCAATGTGGACATTTGGCCCCGCCTTTAGACATTATGGTAACAGTTGAATAAACATATTCCAATCATGTCGTCTTTGCCGGCTTCGCACCATCGACTTGTAAACAAATGTTTGTTGTCTAAGAGAATAGACTTAACAACACTGTGTGTTTTACCAAAGTGCTGTTTAACTCAAGAGACCATTGGTCGGCGCCAAAGCCCACCAAACCAAATCTGTACATATTTTTGCTTTAAAATGAATGATTTTGTTGTTTAGTTATAACTGGATGTGTAATTAAGCGTTTGAATTCTTTCATGTATGTTCTCACTTCTTGCAGGGGAAAGGAGGGCAAAGACCCTGATGAACACCATTATGCAGCTGAAGAAGATCTGCAACCATCCATATATGTTCCAACACATTGAAGTGAGTGCTACTCAGATCACTGGAACTGGCTTTCTGAGTGTCTTGACTGCTGACCCTGGAAATATGAGACTGATGTCATACATTTGCCAGATAAATAATCATCTGTTGATTAGTATTTATCACTTCACTGCTGTAGATTTTTGAAAGTTCTGCTATGTCCCTTAAAGTTATCATATAACATGAGTAGATCATTTTATTAAGAGCTAATATTCTAAAAAAGTAACATTTTAATTTTGTTCTTATGTCGAGAGATGAACTTACTAAACAATGTTAACCATTAGGATTTCCTTGTCAATAAACTGATTTCATTTCAGAAGAAACTGATTAGCAGTCAGTCTCACGAAACACAAAGTTCCTGTCATGTGTATTTGAAAGACAGCTTCGAGAATTGTTGTGAAAGTGTCTCCCCTGGGCAGCCTCTTTGAAATGCAGGAGATAATTTCACATCACTTCTGATTTAATCCAGTAAATGTCTTCTGTCGCAGGAATCTTTTGCTGAGCACTTGGGCTATCCGAATGGCGTCATCAATGGGTAAGCGTGAAAAGAAAAACAAGTTAGATGAACTTTACACATCAGGACTTGAGTTAACTATATATTTATATATGTAGTGCTTTATAAATGGCAACCAGTGGCAGGACTTTAAAACAGGAGTATTTTCTCCTTTGGACTTTGTCAGCACTTGTGCTTTTGTATTTATTGTAGCTGAATTATTGTAATTATTGTGAGCGTTACAGTAGTCTAGCTTGTAAGTTATGTAAGTGTGCATTAGTCTCTCTGGCTATAAACCGAGCTAGAACTCTAATCACCTGACCTTAACCTTCCTGGTACCTCTACCAAGCAACAGAAAAAAATATGTTCCTGTGTATTTTGCATTTGCATTCAGTGCAAACACACACACACACACACACACACACCACACACACACACACACACACACACACACACACACACACACAAAACACACACACGACACACACTCTCATTATTGAAACAGTAAAATCAATTAAGTTTTTTCCCAAATGTTTGTTGCATGTCAATTTGTATTGATTAGTAATCGTTTTGGGCCACAACATGCTTCTTAATGCAATTCTTTGAAATAACGTTTAAGAAGTGAGATGTTTAGGGTTCAGTAAACTAACTACCTTGTAAGAATCATCCTCAAACCAGGCCTCTGTTTTGAGGATGATTCTGTAGTACTAAACTGGCTGTGCTAATGGTTGTCGACACAGTAGGGGGGTGTCTGTGAAGCCAGTTGTAACAGACTGAAACACACTAATTAAAAATAACGAGTTGTCCGGTCTGTTCATGTAGTGGAGTAAAAGCAATACTATCGATATCACAAGCTGTTACCACAGTTCAACAGTACTTAGAAAGTATGTGTTTTGCAAACAAAAGCATCATATTCTTATTCCATTAAGGCTGCGGAAGATATGCAGGACTGATTCTTAGATTTTAGCTGCTAAAACCCTTTGAAACAGCGTCTTTTTCGGCTGAAAATAACAGGACTTGAAGAAGAATGAAAATATCAGTGGTGTGTGGTAGAAAGAAACAGCCTTACAGACCTCTGTTTCAGTTTTGATAGAGAATTGTAACTTTAACTGAAAAACCCCAACACTGAACAATCAATTTATCAGTCAA